ATGACCTTCGTGGATGAGAAAACATTCTCGTGGGGTGTGCACCCAGTACTGGTGCATAATAATGAACGAATGCAATGTAATGTCTGAGTAATAACTGACTCCCAAGCACTTATAGGTAGCTTAAGAGACATAAGTGATAGTTGAATAGTTTTCCAAATAATCCCATTATAACGCTCTGTTTGGCCATTTCCTTGAGGATTATAAGGTGATGAATAACTTGTAGCTACTCCTAAGCTACATAAAAATTCCTTTAATTCTGATGAGACAAAGGATGTTCCTCGATCAGAATGCACAAAGGTGGGTACTCCAAAGATTGCAAATAATTGAGTTAATTTTCTTTTAACGGTTTCAGCTGTTAAATCTGGACATGGAAAGGCAAATGGGAAACGAGAATATTCGTCTACTACAGTTAGAATATACTTATTTTGAGTTCTACTTGGAAGAGGCCCCTTAAAGTCGATTTTATGAATCTAGGTTTAATTTCAGCACATACGGGACATAATGTATTTATGCGTTTGATTTCTTCAACAGAAAAGGGCAAATTTTTAGTTCTTACCCAATGTACCATCCGTGTAATACCCGGGTGACAAAGACTGTTATGTAAATCCATTAATGAATTTCTCGATGTCGAAGCTATGACAGTATTTGCTCGTGACAATGCGTCGGCCACGACATTTTCTCTTCCCGGTCGATATATGATGTCAAAGTTGTAACTACTTAATTCAAGACGCCAACGCTGTATCTTCTCATTTTTGATCTTTGATGTATGTTGCTGGTTAAACATGAATGATATAGAACGTTGATCTGTAATCAGTTTGAATGTTCGTCCTATTAGTAATTGTCTCCATTTTCTCAAACTTTCTACAATTGCCGAGGCCTCCTTTTCAATAGCAGGGTGACCCCTTTCGGTAGCAGAAAGTGTTCTTGAAAAGAAAGCTACTGGCCGACCTTCTTGAGATAACGTAGCTGCAATAGCGTAATCTGAAGCGTCAGTTTCTACAGTCATATGTATGCCGCTTTCAATAGCAGCTACTGTAGATTTAGCTATCTCTATTTTAAGATCTTCAAATGCTTTTATAGCGTCCTCCGTAAGCGGAAATGTATTATGATTGACAAATGGTTGTATTTTGTATGAGAATTTAGGAATCCATTTAGCATAGTGCGCAAACATACCTAGTGCTCGTCGCAAAGAAACAGAATCAGTAGGAATTGGTAGTTCTAGGAGAGGGCGTAAACGTTCCGGATCAGGTTTAATCACTCCCAGTTGTATCCCAGAAGATTTATAGTAGTCTTTGAAAATTCACTTTTTGTCACGTTTAATGTAAGATTATATTTTGTAGAAATTTCTTCAAATTTTTTAAGTTTTTCATCGTGATCAGTCTGATTTATCCCACAAATCGTGATATCATCGAGATAAGCATAAACTCCTTCTAATTGCTCTGATTTTATGATATTATTAATTGCACGTTGAAATGCGGCCACTCCATTGGTGACACCAAACGGAATTCGTCGAAACTGATATAAATTTCCTCCTGCTTCGAAGGCAGTATATGATTTTTCGCTTTCCAATATAGGTACTTGATGATACGCGCTTTTAAGGTCTATTTTACTGAATATTTTATGTTTAGATACCTTAGCTATAACATCTTCAATAGAAGGGAGTGGATATGCATCTAATAAAGTAAATCTATTTATTGTTTGTGAATAATCTATAACCATACGTTTTTTATGGTGTTCACTACTAGTAACAAGGACTTGTGCTCGCCATGGAGACTGACTAGGTTCAATTATTTTATCTTTTAATAACTTTTGTATCTCTTCATCTATAAATTTTTGATCCATCTCTGACTGTTTCCTAGATCGAATCGCAATAGGTTTCTCGAAAGGTAGTAAATTACTGAATAAGCTAACAGGTTTTATTTTGGCTTCTATAAGAGTACATAATTGAAGCGAGGGTTTAAAACCACCAAATTGCATTTCTAATGATTTATGTTCACTTAACATATCATGACCGAGAATAACATCAGAACATAATCCTTCCATCACCATAAGATTGACTTCCACCTTTTGTTTTTGTATTTCTATAGTTAATGCACATCTGCTTTTTACATGTGATATAAGGTTTGACTTGGCCATTGTTATCTTTTGGTGATATGGTGTTTCAATTAAATCATAGTGGTTAACCAGTCGTTTGTCAATAAAACTAGCTGTACTGCCTGTATCTATTAGTGCTCTAGCCATAATTTTGTTATTGATAATAATAGGAACAGTCGCTTTACTTAAATCTGCAGCAGATAGTATGCAGGAGAGTGTTTCGATTGACTGATTTTCGTTGGAGGTAGCTGCGTTGCGTTGAGATTTATTTCGACAGACTTTAGCAAAATGACCCCTCTTACCACATGAAAGACACGTTGAACTGGCTGCTGGACAGAATCTTCGTGGATGTCTTTTTTCTCCACAAAAGTAACAAGACTCAAACGTATTTCTATAATTTGGTGTTGCAGCAACGGTGACATCAGTATTCTTATTGTCAGCAGACATAGAATCCTTTAAAACTGGAATATTAGAACAGTTATTTGTATTATTTATTACAGGATTAGTGTCACGTAGATAATTCTGATTATGAATTTCTGCTAACTCCAGTGATTGAGCTTGCTGGAAGGCCGCATCTAGGGTTAAAGTACTATTTTCTAACAGTCTTTAACGTATTACAGGTGACACCAGTCCGCCTATGAAAGCGTCTCTTATGTATTCACTTTCATTCTGTTCTGCTGTAACTTTATGGAAGTTACATTCTTTCGACAATAGTTTAAGAGCTTGTATATATTGATGAACTGACTCACCGGATTGCTGATATCGCTTCATAAGACGATGTCTTGAATAGATTTCGTTTACAGGTTTTGTAAATAATTGATTTAATTTAAGAATCGCTGTAGTGTAGTTGTTACATTCTTTGATATGTGCATAAAGAATCGGCGATAAGTAATTGACGAGTACTTGGTATTGCTGCTCTGGAGTAATAGGATTATCCTTAGTATTTATAGCACTAATAAAATTCTCAAAAGTTTGTTTCCAATGTATCCATAGCGGAGATTGATCAATATTTGCTGACGGATCTGCATCGAATCTTTCGGGTCTTAGATACTTATCCATTATAGATTATAAGTAATTCTTAGTTTATTAAACAAGTGTGACTATATCAAACCCACAAGAAAAAGATATAAAGATCTTATTGCGAGCTATAACCACAACAGTGGGTAAACTGACGATGTCCGTCCGATAAGCTCATTCGTCGGAGATGAACAAAATCACTCTAACGCGAAATGGTGACAAAATTGCCGATCTTGAAATTGCTTCTCGATCCTTCCATTCTCAATAGTCATTGCCGAGTGTCTTATTACATTCAATCATATAGGAAGTAAACTTTATTCCATTTAATGACATATCGGTATTTATTTATCGTTTTACTATCTGTATAAGTGAATGGTAGGTTAATTTTGTTACTTTATTATTTTGGACTGTGCATATACAGACATACAATTGTGTATATGTAAAGACATTCTATTTTATTCACGTAATTTTACAGGTAATCAACAATAATATTTCTTTTCTGCACTCTTTTTCTAGGGCTAAAAATAATCTGTTAATTTAATGTTTAATATTAACTTCGTATATTTTTCAAATACAATATATTTAGATATATATACGATAGATACCTATCCACAATAAACCACTTTTAAACTAAAGGAAATGTGTAACTAAGACAAAAGTCCTAGAGAAATCGCACGTAAAACATTAATGAGGAAGTTAACGCGATAAGCGTTTCAAACGAGGATTGAAGCAAGGAAACGGGGAGAAGAAGCTCGCATTAACATTCCAGTGCAGAAGAGGCAATAATGTGGGTGTTACACGGCAAAGCGTTTCACTCGAGCAAATGGCCGACCCCGCCCCGTAAGGGAATACCTTTTACACTACGCCTGTTATTGTAGCTTCGTATTAGGTACAACCCAAATATCCCACAGTCCCAAAATAAACGAGGGTAAGGCCAAAAAAATTCCGGAATTCTTTCCGCATTTCAATATTCAGCTTTCCTTTCTTCTAAATTAAAGTTGGAACGAGACTCGTTTTTACTACTGAAGTACCTATTATACAACTTACTACAAGAACATTCAAGTGTGCATTTTGGTCCCATTTGAATGCTAACCCTAATTATTAAGAAATAAACGGTGATTGTTACAAAATTTGTAAGTGAACAACCTACAGCCTACCGTTTCAGTGAATATCTACGATACGGCTTCTGATAGCATAGTAGAATTTATTATCCGAGTCGTAGAAAGGCTACGCTGGTACGTACCCAGCGGAGCCACGTACAGCAATATTATTTGGTGGGGTGCGTTTTGTTTACAAATTGTTCGGCGGCGCGTGCCGCGCTCGGCTCGAATCACCTCGAGATAAAGCGGCTGCTGCCGCCCGCCGATAATTTTCTTCATCCTTGTTTTATACGCACGTTGAACGGTGATTTCAGCCATAAATGAATTGATCCAGTTTACTGCTTAAATATTAAATCAACAAGATAGAACATACAAATAATAATATTTAATAGGATAGTCTACACGTAGAATATTATAAAAAACTTGACAGCTAATTTTGAAATGAGGAAACTGAACTGCACAGCACCTGCACCGATTTAAGTAAATTTTAATTATTTAAAAGATAGTTTAAGCCAGTGTGATGTATATATATATATATGTAAGTCATATAGGTTAATATATACCATACTCGCAAAGTGAACCATTGGTATATATGAACATGAAACAAATTCCTACTTCAGTATTACTATAGACAATATTTGATTTTATGAGGAAAATCTTTCAAATTCGCAATTGCATCTTTGTCAAAAGAAACATTTCTTTCATAGACAAGGAATATGTGATAAAACGAAAACAAAAAGATTCTTTATAATCATTTCTAACCTAACAATGTTATTTTGTTTGTTGCAGAAAGTCGAACCTGCACATCATCGGAGTTCCGATGCAAGACAGGGCGGTGTATACCGTTATCATGGCGATGTGACAACGAGAAGGATTGCTCCGATGGATCAGATGAAGAACCAGGAACATGCAGTACGTACTCATTAAATTATTCCATTCCATTTTGAATTTTTAAATGAAAGGAAAGTGTAATATACCACTACAAAAAATAGATAATATTATAAATAAAAAATATGCACTTATGTATTGCTTGAACGCGTTGATATTTTAACCCCTTTCAGGAGTCATGATTACTAATTGATATTACGTAGTAATTATGACTCCTGTAATTAGTATTTATTTTTGTAGCTGTGTTATTTCTTACCACATCATCATATCTGATTCAAATTTTTTATCATTAATTTGTTTAATACTGGTAAGAGCCTAATCATGCATATAATAAATTATAATGTAAAAACTTGACGTTCATAAGCGGCTAAAATGTCCTACATGAATAAATGTTTTTTGAATTTTGCTTGAATATTAGAGTTGTAATATTATTATAATTAAATGAAAGAGCGTCGCAGTAGTAGGGTATGCTATATTATCGCGAATTAAAACCAGAGTCAATGTAATGTTGTAATAAAAAAAAACAATCTACAACAAATATAAAAGTTCCTCAAGATTATGGTCTACTTGTATTTCTTGTATTTCAATGCTATTATTAATGTATTCTTTACAAAGAAAATAATAAATATACTAAAATAAAATGTAATCAAATATACCACACTAAAATTGTTACATGGTCACTTCTTGTTCAAATATCTCTGAGGGTTTTTACTGCTTTCTAAATTAGAATTTACATAGGTCGAATAAAAACAAACAACGGAGTATGTATTTTAGGTGATGAAAATAAGCAAACATTGTTACTTTAACAAATTGACTTGGGCCATGTTGAAAGTGGTCTCTATTTTCTGCTGACGTGTAAGTGTAGAATGTAGAAGTATTTTATATTATAGAAGTTATAAAGGAAAAATCCAGATTATTGATATTGACAGGACAGAACAATCTCATTACTCTGAAAATTCTTTTGGTGTCAGTTGCTGAATATAGTATGAACTATTTCGATTAAGATCGAAATATAGCAAATGTAACATTTCTCTAAGGGTTCTAATATCATACCTTTGTTTCACACACTACACAAAAATCAAATATATCCAATATATCCAGCTATGGTATGATATAGCTTATACAAATTGAAAAATTCAAAGTCTATTAACGCATAAATATCATAATTTCAAATTTAAACGTTTTAAAATAAGTATAGAAATATAAATAAACAATTCGAATTTGATATGATTGCGCAAATTACTTTATTGAATAAAATCTTTTATTTAATTAAAATATTTTAATTGCATACATACATATATTTAAATCTATTAAAAATTATACAAATTACATATTCCACTTACTTATTAAAAGATATAGAATGTATATAAAAATATTTATCACTTTTATTAAGTTTATTCACATAATAAAAAAAAATACAAATGACCTATAAAGGAATACGCAATGTATTTTTGTATTTGTATTATTCTTAAAATAAATAAATTTAAAACATTTTTATCAACAAGTGATAAATTATGTGTATCAAGTGAAGGTATAAAATCCTAAATAATATATACTTTTACATTTAAATGTTTAAATGTCATACATAAATTGGTGACAGATGAGCAGACGCTTATGAGATAATACAGCGTAAAGAATAAAAAATATTATTATCTTGCGATTTATGTGAAAAGTTTTAAGGTACGTAGCACGCGTATTTCGTCCTTGCCGAGACTCCCGGCGTAGATTAAAATCTTAATTACGGCTCCAAGTTTTCAGGATTAATTTTATAATCTTTGCCCTCTCTTTTACCTGTTTTCGTTATGAATTGTGAATTTGAATTCCATTTAAGTCCATCGATTGTGAGATCTTAACAAAATAAATGGATCAACAAGGAGAAAGGATTGTAATTATACGTATTTATATATTGCAGTCTAAATACTTTGAAAAGAAAAATTAATAATTAAGGTATTTTAGAGTGCATGTTAGAGTATTATATAATTAAAACTTAAGTAACTCAAATGAAAAAAACATATGTACTTAATATTAGTTAGGTAGGTACCCAAAGCTTAATCAGGCGAGAAAATTTTAAGATCGGTACTTCACTGAACAATCGCCGATCGACACTGCATTTGATCGAATATATAGAGTTCAGCTATTATGAATGTGATACAACCTTAGACTAGTAATTAAATGCTACATACATATAATATATTATGATTATACATACATCTACTTATCTAGGTCTACAGATTTCGCTTTCACACAGAGTGAGCCCGGAATTTAAATGAACAATTTAGAGAGACAGTAATATTTGAAGCATGTAGATAGAGATACATATGGAATTTCGCAAAGGATCACATGTAAACGTACACATATTTGAATTACTTGAACTGTATTATTATCTACTTGTATCAGTATTTACTCGTGCTCGTTTAGTTGTAAAGTGATTCCATAAAGACGCATAAGTGTGTCACTTAGAACAAAAACGCTCGATTCGATGGTCTACTTATTCGATTCATAACAGCTCAAAATTATCTTTATTTTTATAACATAATATTACTTTAGTGTTCTTACATTAGTCTTATCTGTTAATATCCAAGCACTTAACAATAACCAAAGAGTAAAGTTATCGCTATTTGCATACATAAATATGGATTCCGGCGTTTCAAATAAATCTATATCTCGAAAAAGTAATAACCAAGGAAATAAAGTTCATGAGTGCGGTGACCCCACAAAGGTAAACAGAAAGTAGATGGGTGCAGATAACTGGGGGTTTTAGAGGGTGATCTCTAAATCCTACGTTGAAAAATGGTTACATTTAAACATTAGAACGACGAAAAATAGTATTCTTTAAAAAAATTCTTAGATCACATAATGATTAGTGATAAGAAATTATTTAATAATGAAACATGAAAAAAGATTTTAAAGTAAGAATCATACTTAAATATGAAATATTCTATTATTTGTGCACGGAAATTCACAATTCAAGGTCCAACGCTGACCAAGTGTTATAATATAATAACATAATAATAACCGTTAAGGTTGGTGTTTTTATAACGTAACCAAAAAAAAATCTAATTGAATTGACTACGTACAGTACTAAACGGAAAAACAGAGCAATACCCAATCATAATAACTGTGATAAATTACAATTTGGTGCAAGTGCACATATAAATGTTTATTCATTGAATTTAATTATTAAATAATAACTTTTATTTATTCTTTCAATATTTTTCAATTGAAACCTATAAACCTATTTTTTAATATCAGTTTCACTATATATTCTATCTGGATACACTTGTAAAATGTTGAATGTTACTTTAAAACGTAGTTTACTCACAATATTAATATAGGTAGTACGGCTAGAATAAATCGAACGAGAGAATTTAAACTATAAGATTTTTAACAAACATTTGTTATATACATAATAATAATTTCATAAATCCATATCAATATTAAATTGAGTAAATTAAGGACACCAATAACAGCAAATTTTACGTAAAGTCTAGAACTTAGTTTGTTACAAACAATCCAAAAGAAGTTAGTAGCTCTACAAAAGCCAGCCAAGCGGACATCTAATTCTTTGTTTTTTTTTTTCACAAACAGTAACAATATGTACAAAAAGCCAGCGGAAGTTCGCAAGGCTTTATTTCAAGGGGAGGGTTATAGCAACCGCGGGCTCGCAACTTTGTAGGTACACTTAGTGCCATTGTAAGTCGACCCAACATAATGGAAAATCCTTTTTATTCGGCACGGACACGCGATGTGGTGTACAATATGTTTATTACGTAGATACCCAACAAATATAATGTAGTAACACTGTTATGATAGCTATTATTTGATTTTATGATTATTACAATTACTGTAGTAAAAAGAAACACAGTTACACTAGTTTAGTTATACTATACAAATAAGGAACAAGGTAATTAATAAAATATTCTTGAAATTGCTTGCTTTAACGCAGATCCTAGACGAAATATGAAAATAACTTAAGTACCTTTAAGCAAACCCAGTCTGACCAAACCAGACATGACAACACATGATGATATTTTCTGAAGTTTTTAAAGTACAATATAAATAAATATATCAATGCTACAAATTAATTCTTATTATAAAGAAACTACCCATTACAGTACAAGGTATATAACCCACATACAAATTTGTCGTGAACTTTATTAATTTTCTCAAAGCAAAGTTTCTTATCCAGTTTTAAAGCCGCTTAATTTGGAGTTTATTAGTTAACGACAGCGTAAAACAGAGTTAAACTCAAACAAGAAGTGTTTAGTATCATTAAAATCATATCGGTAAGCCGCGTTTTGACATTAGTATTTATTGTTGCCCAACATCCTTTGATTATAAGTATTTACTGCGATACCAATGTAACTTTTAATACACAGCATCAGTACGAAAATGCCCTGAACACAAATTTGTATGCACAAGTGGATATTGCATACCTGCCTCATGGCAATGTGATTATGAGGCCGACTGCCCTGACGGTTCTGATGAACATCAATGTGGTAAGAGCATGCTCTACAAAAGTAGCATGTTATAGGACAAATTGGCATGAGGGGATTGACGTAAATTCATCCAATACTTCATTTAGAAGAGCATGAGAAAAATCATATTCGTGGGGTATTTATAAAGTCGTATATATTTCAAAATTCTATGACCATATCAAACATAATATAAGTGTAAAAGTGAAGTATCTATTGTAAAATATCTGAAAATAAAACAAAACACGTGTAATATAAAAAAAAAAGAAACAAAACATAAAAAATATAATTAAGATTACGTGGAAAGTACCGCAAAGGGGGAAATCCTAAAGAGAAAGGGAATTCTGGAACGAATGGACGTAATAATTGTGTTTGAAGACATATCAAATAAGTCATTTCGTTTGAGTTCAATCTAAAGTTTTCGTTTATCTCAGAACAATTGTATTTGAGTTTTCAGCAGTTATGAAGTCGTCGAGAACGTATTTTCCTTTACTTGCGTCACGTCTCAGCCTAAGCATTGATTTTGGGATTACACAGACATTCCTTAATTATGAAATACAAATGATGTGCATGCAATGTTGATGAAATATATTTGGAGCTGTAATGTGTCATCCTAAAATATGTGCTGGGGTTTTAAAATACAGGTAATATTACTTGCATCGTACTTAGCATGTGCATGACTTGGGTTGGCAGAAGTGGAGGCTTGCGATCCCGAAGAGTTCACTTGCCGGGGAAAACACGGCGAATGCGTGCCGCTCACCTGGATGTGCGACGACAACCCGGACTGTTCCGACGGATCTGATGAAAAAGCATGCAGTAAGAGACTTTTGTCATTATACCTATAGAATTTTATTTAACTAATACTGTTCCTTTATCTTTCACAATGTTACATTATATGTTGTATATTTACATTTTTGTTTATATCCACAACTCTTTAGTATTTAAATGGCGTAACCATTTATGTTTTAGTTCTTTTGTATCATGATAAACTTGAAACAAATACCTACTATAAATTTAAAATTGGTTTATTATCAATCATGATATCTATGTACGAAATTTGCATGATTTCGTCCCACATTATTATCTTAACTTAAGGTCATATAACTAGAACAAAGAGCATGGCTTCAATTAATATAATGCGTATTACAAATCAAACATATTCCCAATGCGTGTATATAATTATTATTACGATGCCACTATATCTTTAGTCTAATGGTCTAATTGATCGATGGTAATGTATTGGAAGAAACAAAGTTTACCTACGTTTTTGATCCTTTGATGGAGTCGATGTTTAACTATTCCTCTTCGGCTTCGGCAGTATCAATCAATCATTGGGGGTCCCACCCCAACCAAACACTCTGTATTCTATCAACGCCCGGCTCATCCGTCTATAAATTCTTATCTACCCGCACTGGTCCGACCCGCCCTGAAGCGTGAGCGATGACGTTGCGTGTGTACACTAACACGCGCGAGATTCCTTAGGTCCCTCCCTGGAAGAATCGCCATGATTATGTTATAACTTAATTTATTATTTATTGTTGATATAATACTTTTTAATAATGCCTATATATAATAATAGACACTTATTCAGTCCAGCTTAGTAGGACATAGCAGTAAGAAAACTACTTTATCTAAATGTTCCAGAGAATCTTTATAATATTTAAGAAAAAAAGCATGTAACAGAGCCAAGTTTTAAAATGAACTGCTAGAAAATGAAATAATAAGTCAATTCTGTGTCGTGGTTTCCTCAAGACACCAATTATACCTTTGCTACGGTTTTATTTTCCTTTGCATATTCTTATAAAAGATTCCGAGAAACAAAACTAATTTATTTATATTATCAGTGCATTGAATATTTTCATCGGGTCATATATTAACATTTATACATATTTTTTATTAGTTCATATCACATGCATGTTTTAATTTAATTTATGCTTGAATTACAATCCAGGTAGAGCTGTATGTAATATTTTATATTGTAAGCCTAATATTACTCAATATATATAAAAATATGAGGTTTTCTGCAGCAAGGAATATATCCCATTTACGGTTATAATGTGTAACATGTATGCAATATGAATATTTATGTCCACTGCATCCGAAGTATACATCAAAAACATTAAACTTCCGCCGTAAATAAAACAAAAACCGGCGCAGTTACTTTATTCCGGAATAGATTGGCAAAATTATCACTTTTTTACCAGTTTTTCTCTATAATTTTGCGATAACAAATTAGAGTTAGGTAAAAAAACGTTATTCATTCATTTACTCTTGCATTTTTGACATTAAACAGGCCGACCTGATATGATACAATTTATATCCTAGTAATATTACATTTAGAACTGTTAAGCCTTTGAAAAAGTAACAAACATACCGTTAGATATATAGAGACAGTTTGCAATTTTCAACTCGTAGCATATCTCAGAATTGAAATAAGAAGATAAACGTTATTTAATTACATTATGAATAGTCAAGACTAAAATAACAATGAAATTTTATATGACCAGATGAAACATGTCGTTCTGATGAATTCACATGCGGGAATGGGAAATGTATACAACAGCGATGGGTATGCGATGGTGATGATGATTGCGGTGATGAAAGCGATGAAGTCAAGTGTCCGACACCTACGTGCCAACCTCACACGCATTTCTCTTGTGCGGATGGCCATTGCATATCTGCTAGATGGCGTTGTGACGGTGATATAGACTGTCCAGATGGAAGTGACGAATTGGTGAGTTACTTTATTTTATTATTTTCATAACGGAATAATATGCAAAGGCTTTTGTATTTGCTACCACCAGATGTCGCACAAACGCTGGTCAACGTTCACTTATGTATATATAGACTTGTGCAATAATATAACACGTATTTTAATGATATTGACATTAATTTGGTATGCCCTAGTAAGAACTTAAATATATATATTGTTACTATAATTTATGATGGTGGTAACAATTTAAAAAATATATAGTTTTTCTATTCAATATTGTGTAAAATTTATTATTTGTGTCATATTTTACCTAAATAAATAAAAAAAGGTTTAGCGAGGCATACTTTGTTGAAAGTATTCTACGTGAATACCTCAGTCTCGCTAATTTTAGCTGTCAAGCAGCTTGCTTCGTAAGCTGTGTTTTGGTTGAAAAGTGAGAGAAGGTAGCAACCTCGGGTCTTAATTTTTTCGAAGCGGAGCAAAAACAAAAAAATCCGTCCCCCTAGGACTTCCCCGCCGTCCCTATTTTTGCATACATTTATTGTGGTATTTTCAAATACATGAAACACAAATAATTTACTTGATGTCAAGGTCAAGTAGTTAAAGATGCTTTAATAATGAGAAGTGTATTCATCTGCTAAGTTCGAATTTCCGCTCCCAAAACTTGCTGCCCGGGACATAGACCTCGTGTTGTTTAAATTTAATATTTTTATGCTTAATTCACAGTGACTAGACTACTATTACTGGCAAGTTAGAACCTAATTAAATAGAGCTAAGTGTCAAATAAACAATCCATTAGATATTGATTTATATAATGATTTAAAATATTTTTGCTATTATTTTACACCTATTCATTTACCTCCCTTTATAGAAAAAAGCTATAATTTTTGTTTTTGAAATATGTATGTAAATAAAATACACCATATTTATACACAACATCAATTTTGTTGCAAACATTTCCTACTCGATTCGACCGAATGATTTGTTTATATAACGAAACATTTGATTAGGTATATTTTATTTGTTCTTTCATACGCCCCCGTATTCCCAGAAGGCACTCGTTGGATGGAAATATTTTCGTGTCTCAATATTCATTTGGAACACTCCCAATTTATCCCTCGTATAATTACCATGTTGTACAGTCCATAATCGTATCGTTTGCGCAGTTATGGCATTTACTATTTTCGCCTACAAAACAACACTGACATATATTATGAAAGCATCTATGATTAATTCAAATTATTGCCACGTATAATAATATCCAACCATCGTTAATAATATATTTAAAAAGTTTTTTGTTTATAAACTACATATGATGAAAGGAATTTTATGTAATGGATGTAATTTCTATCTAAGGATAGGGTAACCAGAGCGTACTTACGAGCACTGAGAGATTTTTCATGATGCATAAATACACATACAAACTTAGAAACACTTTCTGCTCATATTAAGGATTTATTCTCAGCTGTATACAATAGGAAACTAACAGTTGACAGAGATTAACACCTGGTGGTATGAAATAATAAAAAAAACTATTGAATTATCATGATATTTTATAATTGCAGTTTCGTATTTCACTTCCAAGATTGCTATTGAATCGGGTAAAAAGTATAAACTAGGTAATTTACCAATTCTACTATGCAGTAACAACTTGTTTTACTTTGTTTGGATCTACAGAATAATGTAAATAGTAAAAAAATGCATATTTTAATCCCGCTGATGCCATACTTTACAGTGAGTTGTCTATTACTCTAACGTGGCTTTTGATCGAATGTGCTATCAGTTTATTTAGCATTCATATAATACAACAAATACGTATTTTTGGTTTAAGCATTATATATTCACTAGCTGTGCCCGCGCTTTCGCCCGCGTGATATTTATAGCCTATATGTTATTCTGATGTATAAGCTATAGTATTGTAAAGTTTCATCAAAATCCGGTCAGTAGTTTTTACGTGTAAGAGTAACAAACATCCAACATAAGTATAGAAACTTACAAACATTCGCGTTTATAATTAAAATCAATAAGATTCCCGGTAGTTTTGTCCACCAACAAATTTAGGTATACCCTATACATTTCAAGAAATTATTACATTTAAAGTACAGTTTATTAGTATAGATTATAAAAGAGTATGTTCTTTTTTTTCAGGAATGCGCAACCACACCGAAGACTACATCACCATGCTTGTCAACCGAGTTCGAGTGCCGTGACCGCATGACTTGCGTGCACAGAGCGTGGGTATGTGACGGTGATCGTGACTGTCCAGGCGGTGATGATGAAGCACTGGAACTCTGTAGAGGAAACGTTACATGTCGATTGGACCAGTTCCAATGTAAAGACCACAGCTGCATCCCAGGAGCGTTGTATTGTAACGGGGATAAGGACTGTCCTGATGGCAGTGATGAATTTAATTGCAGTAAGTTTTATGAACTGACTAGTATACTGGTGTCTGTAAATACCTTTCATTAACAAGTTACTTAACTGCATTTTTTTATATACGTATATAGGTAACTACGTAATTCATTTATTCAAATTAAATTTAATAATTATATATTCTAATTAGTGCTAGGAATATGTTTATAAAAGCTAATGATTCCTAATACTAGGAATCATTAGCTTTTATAAATGATGTAGATATATAGTATATCAATTTATAAAAATTGAATATTTTCAATTCTACAGCCCGTGCGAAGCCTGTTTGTGACAAGAAGACAGAATTCGACTGTGGCGGAGGAATGTGCATTCCTTTATCGAAGCTATGTGACAAAAAACCGGACTGTCCAAACTTCGAAGACGAGCCAAGAGACAAGTGCGGGGAGAACGAATGTGAAAAGAACAATGGCGGATGCACGCAACTCTGTGTCGATACACCCGTTGGATACTACTGCGATTGTAATAAAGGATACAAGCTTATAGACAACAGGACATGTGAAGGTGAGTAATAAATATTTGTAGGTATTTAGTGTATTACTTCCATTCAGGAAAATGACACCCACATCTAGACATAGGTTGTCCTTAGGGACATGTTACAATGATATGTCAGTTTAACACATAATGAAGAAGTATTTTTGGTATTAGAATTAGTGTGATGGCCTCGAGTGTGTACCAATCTATTTAAATGAAATATAGTAGAATTTATTTTGTGTTTTTCTTAGTACGCGGTGGTCAACTTAAATTGGATCGATTATACATAATTGATGTATTTAAATAGGGCTTTCTTACCCATAATATCTTATTTGTTTTCTCAATTGGTATCTATTTAATAAACTATATATGTACATAACCTATGTTTAGCTTTAGTTGTTTAAAATATCAAAGGTTAACAAGACATTCAACATATTGTCATTACATACACAATACAGTTTAAATTTTTGGGAGCATTTTCCTTACAACTTTAACATGATATTCGAGATTAACATCGGAAGAATTTTATGAACAAATATGGCTTACTGTTATATTATGTCAGGATCAAGTTTTCCGGTACAACATGGACTAAAATCATGAATAGTCTAGATGAAATCTGACTTATAAATGTGCGATATGGTATGTAAGATGCAGTCTGCACTAGTAATTAATTCTAACATAATATTTGATTCAAATCGTTGAGGATGGAACCTATGTGTACTTCAGATAGATGTTTATTGATCCTTTAGATCAATGGAAAATAGGAAAAAATTGAATTTGAGATATTAGTTTTTTATCGCGACCCTGACAACATTGTAGTTTTGAAATTTCCGAATTTATGATAACATAATATTATTGTAGGTGAATTCAACAGAAATATGTCAGAACCAATTCAATGAAATAGACAACCAATTCGCCTCCGGTCATTCACAAAACAGAGGTTGTTTGTAAACTGACATTGCCGTTTGAACTAACGAACTACACAAATTTCCAATAATACTAGTAAATAGGATTAAGAACTTTACACTGATACTCCAGTTTCTATTAGCAAATTATTTATTTATTCTTTATTGCACAATAACACTGGTACAAAAGATAAGTTTAATGAGTTACGGCAGTCTCCACAAGCTAACCTTTCGGTATATATATGTAATATTAACAATAATTTAGCACGGTCCACTTTGCTAGTTTCTTAACGCACACCTGATGGCAAGCGTTAATCGTCGCCAGACATGAAAAGAACAACGTACATCACGTTACGCCCGTCATACCGCTCCTGTGTTATCAACCTAGTGGACTGCCAGATGTGGGAAAGATGTTATGGCTCTTATTCTGTAATTTCACTGCCTAATCGCACCCTACAACTGCAGCTCAGCTTAGTTTGGGACTAGCTGTTGCTGTGTATAGCCAATAATATTTATTTATAAGAAAATGACGTCTTTTCAGATATCGACGAATGTGCCGACCCAGGTGCCTGTTCTCAAATGTGTATCAACGAGAAAGGCACATTCAAATGTGAGTGCCACGCTGGCTATGCTCGAGACCCCCGCGAACGTACAAGGTGTAAAGCGACAGAAGGCCACCCATCTCTGTTATTCGCTAGACGTTTCGACATTCGCAAGATCAGTCTTGACCATCATGAGATGGTAGCCATTGTTAATGACACAAAATCGGCGACAGCATTGGATTACGTTTTCAGAACTGGAATGATATTTTGGAGCGATGTCGCAGATGAGAAAATCTACAAGTGAGTAATTGACTAATTTAATTTATCAAGTTCAAATATGCGGATATTAATCGCGTCAAAATTAGTAATGGAGTATGAAATGTATTTATGTCCTGCTAAAACAATACATAAAATTGGTAACACCTAATGTCGCTTTACCTTTACACAAATAAATTTGAATCGAGTAGGGAACCTTATTTTGTATGAAGACGGATTTAAAGAGATTGCAAGTTGCGACGCGATTTGCCTACGTAGCGTATATATATCAGCTTATTTGCGTATATTAGCAGCGTATATAATCAGCTTGTATTGCTGTTGGGAGATTTGATAGTGCGATAGCTACAACCTTTGTATCATATTCCATAGTTATCTAGGCCGAATACAATGTTTCTTATAAAAATATAAAAAATCGTGTGCACCTGTAATTGTGAAAGAATTATAGGTATGATCGTGGTTAGGTAATTTACCTCAAAGTGTCTGTCAATAATAAACTGAAATCCACCGAGATCTTGTTTTGTCTGGGTTTCAGGGTATTAAATCATTCGATACGACGCTTTAATTACTAGAAAATAAAAGCAAAGAATTAATTTTATTGAGTAACCCTTTAGTATCTTGTAAACAGTGTTGCTTAAGATCTAATAATATTAATGAATTCAAAGTAATTGGATTTCGAGGGTAAAATACTTAAGGTACTCCACTTACACAGAACAGGAAAAACAAAGTTCTATTCTCGTTTTTCCTGTTATGCTAGAGAGTGGTGTGGGATATCACAATTATGATGTTCAACATTAATAGGACTGGGACCTTATATACGCAATACTTTATAGTGGTGTTATACTATCCACAGTATTCATATTGTTATTAATACTATATGCCGTGTAATATACTTTATAACATAGGAATCTAAATGTCAAAACCGCTGACATAATATATTATGTAACTTCAACATTAACAATGTTTATAGATTGCTATAGAACCATTTCTATTATACAATGCATGAGCTTTTTAACAAAAATTAACATTTTTAATAATTTTGTAAGAAACATTTGGATACATTCGTCTGTTTAGACTCTCACGTATTATCTGTGCATCTATCTACTTTGATATGAGAAATCAGAATGATTATTTTTCTTTTAATTCTGTTGTTTCAATGGCATGTCCATACTGATTTCAATATATATTATATATATATTATAAATAATCAGAATCCAATAAAGTAAACGTCCAACATTCACAACATAAAAGAAAAGATATTTAACCCAGATATTTAAATATTCGGTCTCTTTTAGAGAATTTTAGAGAAATAATTTATCTTTTAAACAGATTTGTTCATAATTTATTTTTAACAGTATATTTTTTATTATGCTACGACTGACTGCTTTTACGAGGTTTAAATTTTATTGATATTATATTAGTTAACTGAATTTCGTTTCAATATTTTAGAGCACCAATAGATGAGGGTAGTCAACGTACAGTCGTCATCGGTGATCAATTAATCACATCAGACGGATTGGCCGTGGATTGGATATACAACCACCTTTACTGGACAGACACCGGGAAGAACCACATCGAGTTGTCGGATTTGCAGGGTAATATGAGGAAGGTGCTCATCAGGGATCAACTGGAGGAGCCAAGAGCGATCGCATTAAACCCACTTGATGGGTAGGTTTATTAAATACAATTACTATAGCACAAACAAACATAATTTTGAATTGTTTTGGTTGATAAACCGGATCCAGAACAATCTGACTAGTTAATTTAACAAGAGAATAGATTCTGCTCCTTTTGCTATAAGAATTATAGAGATTAAAGTACACGCTTTGTTAAATGCTTATAGGATTAGTAAGTGGGATTTAATGTGTATAAATGTTGTATATAAATAAATATTACCCGATTACGACATCCATAAACAAAAAGCTTAAGAATTGTGATTCAATATTGGGTATTATGGAACTATAAGCATTATAACAAATTATAAACAGATAAATAGCTGATAAGCGTATATATAACAAAAAATACTGAAGCAACTACTTTCCGTGACTAAGACTTATACATTAAGACCGGCTCCCCCGGTCGGGTGTTCGAATCTATGAAGATCTTCTCCACATAAAAAAAAACAAGTATGCTAATTGTTTCAAAATGAAGGTGATACTATATATAGTTACTAGCAATTATATCAGCCCGGGTTTTTTCTCAACTATGGAATAGTATTATATAAAACTCGAGCGAAAGAATCGGTAGCGTGATCTTAAATTATGTTTACTTAGATTCGATAACGATCGGACTTTGATGACTAATGGGGAAGGTCATAGTGCTTCTGGTAGCGCTGATCAGGTTTCCGCACTGAAAATTGATTGATTAGCATGTGTGAGAACACATGCTAATAGTAGCGGAATTAAACAAAATAATACAATTCCATTAAGTAAACAAATGTTCATTCAAATCGTTAGAACAATTTCTAGTTAATTGTTGTTCCGCAACTAAGCTGCAGATTTCTTGCATACACGGTCTGGTTTAAAAGTAGACATAATAATAAAGTTACTGGAACGGTGTCTTAAGCTTGAAATACCAAGGCACTTAGTAATGCTCCGGATGTTACAAGCTTTCATGAGTTGCGGTCGACTAATGTTCATGCCAAACTTACCCACGCTTCATTGTTATCTTTCTTGTATAAATATTTAATATCTGTATAAAAGTTTAAATTATTATTTTTTAATACAACTTATCCTAAAACATACTTAAAACATTTTTGTTTACCTTTGAAATCTTATCTTTACTCAAAAAGAATTGTATACACCATATATATATATATATATATATATATATAGAATAAGAGAACTAAATAGTAGGTATATGTACATATATTTACATATTATAAAGATAGCATATCAGTACATTAAGTAGTTAGTGTAAATGAAAATTATTACTTTACTTCATATCGATCAATAAATTGGAATAGGAAATCAGGCTTAAACTTTATCAATGTGATATTATCAGGAGCTTAACTGAAACAAATAAAATAGTATATAAATTGCGTCATAATAAATCAATTATTATAATATCAAAATCAGACCTGAACCAGAAGATTTATTGAAATTACTTTCAATTTCTGATAAGAACTGTTATTATCATAAATATTGCCGCAATGTGAATCGGCTATTACTATTATTTTTGTTATCTGTATTATTAAGCCGTAATTTCTAATAATAAACTACTGAATAGTCTGTATTAAAAGGGATATCAACGGGAAGGAATAAAATGAACGGTGGGTCAAATACATACTATCTCCACGATCAGAGGATTACTTTCTATAGAATGTTATCTACTATTTACTCGTAACTAATATTAACTAAGTAACTTATATAAAATATGTACTTTGTAGTTTAAACGAACTAACTTAAGTAACGAGCTGTATGATTTTATACAACTGAGTATTGATACAGTTGACATTGTAGCAACATTATGGCAACCTATATTTAAAATAAGCTAATGTTCATATAGATAGATAAAAATTAAACATTCGCGCGATATCATATATCGTTTGCTTTTGTATAGTATAGTATGTTAATCGTTTTTGTCACAGGTGGATGTATTGGACCGATTGGGGACAGACGCCGAAGATCGAGCGTGCTGGAATGGACGGTTCACATCGGGAAACAATCGTTTCCTATGAAGTGAAGTGGCCCAACGGTCTTACGTTGGACCTTGTACGCAAACGAGTGTATTGGGTAATAACGCTTATTTTTATTTATAACAATTAAACTCGCCTCTTTTTAACTCACTTCCGAACCTTGAAGGATGTTAACAAGATGGTATTTTTCGTGTACTGTACACGTTATCTTTACCTATATTATTTATTATTTATATTTGTAATAGATAGGATTTATCCTCCTGACTGATAGTTGAAATGAAGAAAAAAAAAAACTAAACAGAAAACTAGTGTAATAATAGAGGGAGAGGGTTGTCAGGAATAGGGACTAGGACCCCATTGAAAGACTGGATCAGTCAGGTCAGTTAACCTATCGTAATAAATTCACCAGAGGGGAAACATGTGGACATGGAACATTGTTGTTAATTCCTGGTGATATCGCCACTATAGACTCGATGCTCACTGAAACCGTACCGGCGTTAACACAAGACAGTGCACCATTTTATTATTATTCATAAAAAAAGTTTGATAATGCATCTTCCATTATCAAATTAATTTCCTGTATGATAAGAGAAAGTTTTCGTAATGTAAATTAAGCTTAAGGAATTGATTGATGAGAAGAAACAAAGAATAGATTGATAAGACGATATGAAATTAATTGATTACTGCCAACTTTTTTACCCTCTGATAACTGTAATCTATGAAGTAATTATACAAATTTAGCAAAATAACTAATAAAAACTTGCCGGACGTGACCGACCACTAGTTGATATCAACTACAAATCAATGTAACATATTGATTCAATGAAAGATTACAATAAAATGTAATAAAACTGTAGCGTCTCAAATTTTAATATTGTAAATACAGACAAGTAGAATAGGAATAGATGAAGCAGCAGTAGCCAGGACAATATCTCATCCTAATCTTCGACGGCCTCGGTGGTCAAGCGGTTTAGCACATCACCTAACTTCCGATGGTGAGGGTTAGATTCCTCCAACCGCACAAACGTATTTATGAGTATGATTGTTTGTATTGTTATTTCGAACGCTGTATGCATAGAGAAGACAGACCAATACAAACGATCGTACTCATGAATTTAAGTATTTATCGATTCACAATAATTGAAAGTAAGGCAATATGCCAAACGGCTAGACCAGTGATACCGTTAAAACGTACTTTTTAACTTTTTGGCACCGAACCCTAAAAACACGATGGAAATATTAAGAGTATCAACAAAGAATTGATTGATGTAACGATATCAAGTTAATTTATTACTACGAGCCACGTTTTTCAGATAACTGATTATAATTATACATGTTTTTTATTATATCGAAGATATATTACTCTTTGTCAGACGTGACTGATCATATGATGACGTCAATGGCTAATCATCCTATCGTCAACATAATGAACGATAGAATACCGGAATAGTTTTTAAATTAACTAGAGGGTAATAAAGCTTTATAGTGATCTAAACAATCTTACTACCTGTATTTTTTGTAGAGGCTAACAATATAATAATTTCTGCAAAAGACGTAGGCAACAGATCCATCAAATCCATACAAAATTCACATATAAGTACCATATCATTGATATGGTATATATGAATTTTGTATGAATTCTTTTTTCTGCCATTGCCAAGAGGTTATTGTAGTCTATGGTGCCCATTCGCATTGCGTGCGATAATCTTATAGGATAGTATACTATACGTATAAATGTTGAATAGAAACTTTTTGCATTTCAACTACGACTCTATTGACTATGGAGAAATGCACTTTCGCGCGCTCTAATTGCTGTAGCATTGCTAGTACTCAAAGATTTTCCGACATATTTATTTTCCCTGGTCTCTATTATTTTATAATAATGTTTGTTCTTATAATTACTTATAATGTTGATTATTTCGACCAAAGGTGGATGCCAAACTGAACACGATATCCTCGTGCAACTACGATGGATCAGGTCGTCGCGTTATCCTGTACTCGACGGATGTACTTCGTCATCCGTTCTCCATCACCACATTTGAAGATTGGGTGTATTGGACCGATTGGGACAAGACAGCAGTGTATCGCGCTAACAAGTTCAATGGAAAAGATGTTGAAGCTGTTACATCCACACATACGGTAAGTGATAATCATAAAAGACCGTATTCGTTAAAATATATGTGGATGCCTCATATATTAAAAAAATATATCACACTAATATTAATAAATGCATTAACTAAAAAATATTGTAAAATTAACTTAATAGATGTAACTTTATAATCTATACAACCTAAAATATTTTATAAAGCGTATTAAATTAATTAAACGGGAAAAATAATTTATAAAAAAATCTGAGATACGAGAGAATAAATCAATTTTGTTAGCAATTTGGCTGCTACTTTTCAGTTTGCACTTTCCCTTTTTAGCTACGGTTTTGCATTTGTATGTTTTGCGATGTTTCCGGCAATTCCATATCAATCATTTATTTTGCAATTAGGTTTTACCATATTGATGACACATTAATGAAAAAAAAAATAGTTATTAAATTATAATTTAGTTATCTAATCTCGTACGTTTTACTATACTACTATGTACAATTGTAGTACTACTTGTTTCATTCATGAATAATTTATTACATTATTTAAATAAAGATTATTATTATTGTATACTTAAAAATGACAACTGTATACTTAACGATAACAATATTTGTATTTTTATTTTATAAAAAAAAAGATAACGTAAATATTGTATGGTTATCAGCTTCAAAATCCGATGGTCATCCACGTCTACCATCCCTATCGTCAACCGGATGGCGTTAACCACTGCGCCGCTGTCAACGGACACTGCTCTCACCTCTGCCTTCCAGCACCAAGGATAGGAGCCCATGCACCGCGTGTTTCTTGCGCTTGCCCTAATGGTTTACGACTGCTCCCGGATAACCAGATGTGCGTCGAAGACAGTGAGTACAATTTTCATTATTGTTAAAATAGGACAATGACTTTGAAGAAACAGCTGATGTGCTATTGATATTCAGAATACACATTCTAATGATTCCGACATACAGTGGTGCAAGTACGCGACCAATGTAGTGTGGAATATTAATTCGTCCGTCAACAATTTTCGACATTATGTTGTACTTATACTAAGTGTCTTTAATAAAGTATGCGGAATTATTTAACTCTGCGGGTGTATTATAAACTCTTATTCCCAGGCAGTATATGGTTAAACCGAACTGCCTAGTGATTTCCTATTACGAACGCTATTAGCCGGTCAGTCAGTGGTCACGTGACAGGTGAACGCCTTCTATCTGGCTGTATAGTTGAGTAAATTTGTAATAACTTACCTATTTTTGATATCAAATATATAGTTGCTAACTTTTAGGATCTAATAGAACCCATGAATGGTATTCCATTAATGGCATCATGTATTACATGATTTATTCCATGGTATTTGCTCATGGACAAATAGACGTACCTATTGTATTGTTTCTACGTTTTTTAATAATTTATTTATAAACGATGAATGAATTTGTTTGAAACGAATGTATTAAAGAATGTTATCAGATATATAGATAACATTAAGTAGATATTATATTATTCATATGATTCATCATAATTTTACATGTAGTTTCGTTCTCCATATGATGAAAGAATAATGCAATATCTCTTCCGTCTTCTTGTTATACACATTATGGGTTAAAAATATGTATGATATGGTGTTTGTCACATTCTGGAAAAACGTACAGGTGAACAAATCAATAGCGTAAGAGGAAGAAAACTTGAAGTGAGCCAGAAATGCGTCCATAATGGGTTTTTATGATGATTAATTAATAAATGCTTATTTTTTTCCTTAAATTAAGTGAATATTATTTTCCTAGCAAGCCGCGAGTGAGAAATAGATTTTTCGCATATGTCGTTTGAAAGTCTAGTTGTAAGAATAACCGTATAGAAATCTATGTAAAATGTAAAAGTACCATGTTTGTGTTGGTTAATATTAAAAAAGTGAAAAGAATCGAAACTAATTAGAAAACAATAGAATATACATGTACATCAGTCGTGTTTAAGTTTTAAGTCGGAATTTGAATTATTAAGTATAAGTATTCCTTGGGTTGGCATGAAATTGCATGATTTATTATGTACAAACGATAAACGAACATAAAATAAAATACTGAAGTCTTTTAGCTTGCTTCGACTTGTACACATATTGACAACGTAAACAAGGCCGTCATTTGTTTTTAGCCATACGTGTGCGTACGTTAATGTACCTCACATTAGCGTAGGTATGATGGCGATGGGATGCATGGAAAATTTGGTCTAGCGATAAGAAAAACTCACTAATATCGGCAAAACAATAAGTCATGGCTCTTGACATATTTTATAATACTGGATGGCTTTTTCCAATAATATATACATAGTACATAGATGACAGTAGATAGATGATCCTGTTAAAAAGGAAGCGTAGTAGCATCAAATGTATATTACTTCATATCAGTTGATTGAAATACAATTGAATGGGACCAATAACATTTACAGCAATTGACGTTCTTGATTTACAGAAGCGATGACCAACAATTTGAAGGCTTAGTTCGGTTCCAAGATAATTGTAATACATAAATATGTTACGTCCGAAATTTAAAGTAACACTTATAACATTTTTTCATTTTTTATATTATTTGACATCGCGTCTATTATTTATTTTATTATATGTATAAAAATTTTATACACAATGCTGGTGTTAATTCTCTTATATTTTATGCGTGTAAATTTTCTTATTTATAGATATGTACCAATAGTTCCGTTCGTTGTATGTTCCGTATTTTTAATATAACAATTCATTAATATCATAATTGATATTAAAATATGTAATTAGATTCGTTTGAGCAAATACTATAATTATGTAGTACATGTTAGTAGGTATTTGGACATCATCAATTGAAACACATTCATATTTTATTATTATATTGGAAATGTTTTAATCTTATACAGGATTAAACTTTAATCGTATCAGTAATATAAGTTAGAGCTGTTCCAATTATGGCACGATAACAGTACAGTTTTTTAGTGTAACAGTATAAAAATTGGCGTATTCATAAAATATGTACCTATGTACTTTTATTGACTTATTGGTGTTTAACATACTCACTACTATACTACATTATATATGCACACATACATAATTCAAACAAATATGTTCTGATGTGATAAATATTTTCTCCACATTCATACATTCTGACTTGTTCAAAGTAGCTTTATTTTTATACTACGAGTTGTATGAAGTAGAAATATGGTAGATACAAAGAAAAATGTTTCAAACTTTATATAATAGTTAAAATACCGATGAAAAATAGTCTGAACAATATAGTGAAGCCATTGCTAAAATATTCTATATAAATATAATAATAAATACTATGTAAACTCAGTGCTTCGGAATTGAATATTTAATTAATTTCTTGTTCTTAATTTCAAGACAAAAGTAGGTACATAAAAACATACAATTACTACTAGTATATGTAAAAACATCCACTACTTTACGAATTTTGCTTTCTGACACAAACACACGGAAGCAGAACCTTTATATAGGAGTGACTCGTATTTAAATTATTTCCGAAATTTTGATTCAATAAACATATTTCACGTCAATATGGCAATTACAGTGGTTAATAATGTTTAATGTGTGTCAATTGATGAAAATCAACCATTAAATAACTATCGTACTACTATTCAATTGGTTGAGATCACTGATTTCTTTGTATGCCTACCTAATTTAATGTCTGCAGTATATTTACGTTGTAAATAGTATTAGTTATCGTACATTCAAAAACAACATTTTTTCCTTGTTGTTTCATATACTATCGATTGCTATAAAAATGTAGTATGCAGGGTTGGTCCCAGTTTAGTGACCTTACAGTGACAGCAAGGACGTCTAGCTAGAAAGGCACTTTACCGTGTAAGGAGTCTCGACATGTGTCTGCTACTATTTATGGTAGAAGCCGATTTATAGACCCTTCCCTTAATGTCCCTTGGCACATCATTTCGATATACTTGATTCTAAAAGTTTTCCACCGTACTAATGCTTTGTGGTTGCGTCCATTTTTATAATGTAGGTATAGGTACAGTGGAAAATAACGCTAATATGAAATCCTAAAGCTTTTTGATGTCAACAATATTTTAAAATCACTTTAAATAGTCGTCATAGACCTTATTTGTTATTACAGTGTTGAAACTGAATCATATGTAAATTGAAGACCTTAAAAGTGAGGATGTATATTAATTTAATTTAATCTATACACTTAAAGGTAACTTATGAACTTTAATAAATAGTTAATATTACATAGGAGAGGTATCATCAAATAGAGCTTCTGTTTGCTTTACAGTTATAATATTGTAACGTACATTACACATATTGTTTTATTAGTGTCATGAGCTAAATTTATTTAGTAAGTTTATTTGTGAAGATATAGTAATTTGTAAAATTACACTCTTAATCTTTCTAAATAAATAAATAAGATTCAAGAAAAAAGCTATACATCAGTGATTCAGTTTCACTCTCAACAGTCATGTCTAAATTGATCCATTTACTCATACGCTTCAGATCTACCAATATTCCAACCGTATGTTTCTTGGTGACCAATGAATTAGACGTCATGGACATGAATGACGCTACATCATACGATCTTATGAATGTTTAATCTCTTTTTTATCTACGATGATGCAGCCTTTATTGCCTTAATTCATTACTAATGTATCCACACCTACGTTTACTTAGATTATTACCTACATGCTCATTCAAGTGGTAGGTATCTCAATTATCTATTTAATGTTTAAATTTTATCGGAACAGACGGTACCTATTAAATGTTATCGTTTTTTTGCAATACGTTTATCTCACTAAAATTAGGTATTTTCCGCTAATCACGTCACTTGTTTATTTATAATCATTATGTCAAATCATTACTACGATTTAGTGGTTTTATTATAGGAATTAGAAGAACGACTTCTTTATATTCATCAAAAGTATTTTTATACTTTATTTGCGTAATGATCTGAATAATATTGCATTTAAAATTAACTCAAATCGATATCGAAACGGCGCGGCGCTCACTAACCAAGCCATGCAGTTGGCGAATAAGGTGAGGTGACGTCATAACATCACGCCACCTTTTGTTAGTCAATTTAAGAGCGATCCGGCAGTCAGCGTATATGACGACAATTTGGGTGTTCAAATCTACGTCTGAGCCATGCTATGATTAACCTTTTATTATTCGTATTTATTCATATATTGCACTTCAAGATGTGATATCAATACAATGAACTCTATTCAAAGTAATTATTAAATTAAATATGTTCCAAAACTATTGCCATGGTAAAATTTAAACTAGTCCGTTTTTTTATAACTATGTTTTATTATAATAAATAATTACAATGTAATATCTAATAATTTTCCTACCTACTTTAGTGATAAATATCAAGTTAAGATTTTAAAAATAAGTATGATATCGGATTATTCAATCTACATTAATTATTCGGATAAGGTAAATTATTTGATTAAGCTAAGAAACAATGAAAGATTTAAACACAATACGAGAAAGACATCCATAAAAAAAATATTAACCTCGCGTTTTAAACTGAGTCTGTCAGCCGGATCGCATTTAGTTAAAGTGACAGCAAGAAACCGTAATGCAACGTCATTGGCGTACGAGTTTTTCGTTTGCGACCTGCCCCTACCTACCTCACCTCACCTCATTTCGTTGTGTGTCCTCGCGCGAGACGTATGTGCGACAGTGGTTACGGCATTCCATCGGACACATTCCTAAATTAAACGATATTAATTTATACAACAATAAACAAGGTTAACTTATACGGAATAATTTCATAAGTATAATTTATAAATACATCTACAGATTCGATAAAACAAGATGTGGACGTGCAAAAACCGATTACTAGTACTAAAGCGACTGTAGTTATCGAAGAAAAACCTGTAACCAGTGAGTATTAAGTGCTGTTCAGTTTTTGTTGATCCTTTTCCTTTTTCCTAAACCACCTTATGCTTGGAATTCGTTAAATATTGCGGAGTTTGAGGTTATAAGTTGGATGTTAAACACAAAAAGTGAATGTAATTTTATTATGACCTTCTGTTAATATAGATTAAATGTTTCTGTCTCACATTAAACAAAAAAAAAACTTTCAAACGCCGCATAATTTAATCGGATTGCGTTATGACGGGGTATCTGTTATCATCCCATCTGATAAGGGTATATCATATAAAATTGGCGTTGGGCGCATAAAACAAACATTAACAAGCATTACACCAATCGATTAACTTTAAATTAATTGTGAATGTAAAAATATATCTGTGTGTCTTCAAATTCGGATTCGTTGACTGATTTACAGGGCATGCCAAACAACTAGTTTACACTAAGACGAATTATTTTGAATGTGAATCATTCAAGCGTTATCTCTATACATATGGTGAATTTAAAAGGAGAAAGGCTAATAGGCCTTTTTGCGAAGATAACACGTGCAGTGGTTGATAGTGAGGATACTACTACAGAGAAGCAAGAGAAACCAGAGACATCATCGTCGGCCAAAACCGAAAAGCCAATAATGGTTTATTGGGAAAAGGATAGGCGAGATTTAAAGAATAGAAATCAAGAATACATTGATCTGTATCAGAAGGGAATCGCTTTGGAAAGGATACCCGATATCACCGAAACGCCCATTGAAGAATCACGTTATAATTTCGACAAAATCAGTCTCGCGTATTTGCCAGATGAACTCAGAAATTTAAATGAGGGTAAAGTATTTTTATTTTAGTATTTTCTTCAAAGTAAACGTTATATTGTATTAGTATGTGAAGACACACAGATTCGACCTGAACTGGGTGCATGTTGTGTATTTTTTCTGCTAATTTATGTGAATGTCAACTAACAACTGCATAATTTGTATTATATTGTATCTAACTAATAACAAAATTGTCAAAAAATTAATTTCTTTATCATATTAACTTATTCCAATATTCCTTTGGTTTTATATTCAAGTTTAGATATTTCTCTGAAATTATTCCTGTGGTTTTAAGGTCACCTATAATAGTATATTAATTGATTACTTTATTCATTATAATTTTAATAATAATTTATTACTTTAAAGTGACAGTGTAATAAACTATAGCAGCTGAAGTATTTTTTTAATTAAGTTAGAATAGACGGACTGTATCCTGTATTTACATGAAGTAATCATTTATTATTGTCTGTTCTAGAGAACTTGTATTACAGTCTAAGACGACGTAACCACATAACAACTTTGTTATTAAAGTAAATAGAAAAAAATATTTAGAAAAAATGCTTACGTCGAATACTAAGAATAGAGATACGATATACACAAACATATATTTTGTACATAAACAATGTTTCCTTTTTCTAGTACTATAGTATTGTGCGGCTATTTTAAATGAAATATAGGAATATAGGTTAAAGTGTTAAGAGAAGAGAAACCAGTATGAGTTGGCACGATCCATTGACATTCTGTAAATAGATCGACCTGTGCAGTCTGGTTATAACATCTACATCAGCTTTATCTTATTACGGCGATAACTTGTTTCATTCTTTCATTGTGAAAAGTTTGCTATATATGTTGCGCTGTAATATTTGTATATAATAATGCATACATACGTCATTGCATATTTAATTAAAAATATACATTGACCATGCTCAGTGTTTATATGTGGTCTTTGAATTTAATACGAAGAGGCGCATTCCTTGTGTGATAATAAAAATTAATAATACCTACGTTTATTGTAATGATATATTTAACATTTGAGTAATCACTATTTTACACGCTTTTTAGAGACGTTCAGGTGGAGGTATCTATTGTTTACTGTTAATAACATTTTTATTTGTAATTGTATTGGTCATTGTTCTCTGCAGCACAACATCATTTATATTTTTTTTTGTTTGTACAAGCAATTCAAAATCGCTTGTAAAGACCTAATACAACATTAAAATTAAATACCCTGAATATCACGTTGTAAATACGTGCATAAATTTTAATATTAATTATGAGAACAAATTACTTACGTGCTGTAGAGTAACAAACAATTTTTGTCAATTTTTCTTATTATTTCATTTGTATCATTATAGGTATTCCAGAAACACCAAAGACTACTACTGGAATCTCGAACAATGGCCGCGACGCTGGCGTCATAGCTGGTATCGTTGTGGGAGTCATCTCTGGAATTATTATATTGGCTGCAGTAGTAAGTATCCAAAAATATTGTACTTAACCCACCCAATAGAGTTAGCGGCTTCATATACTTCATGAATTGATTGAAATGACTGACGTGAAAGTTGACTAATGTGCAGCTATCGTTCTATTTACGAACTAGCCGAGCCTGCAACATCGAAACCATATATTTTTTTTAACACAAATATACAGACAAGACGTCTAATAGTCATGGCTTTGTGTTCTATTAAGTCGATAAATCCCCCTCGATAATAGGTTTTTTCATGTGTGAAAACATAAGAAACAGATCGAAATCAATTTTTATTGTAGGTGTTATATATTACAAAACTGACTTCTCTCCATAAAAAAATAAAAATCTCTTGTGGTATTCAAAATATAAAAAAAAACTAAATTAACATATTGCCATCATGGTCACGTATTGTTCATGACTTCGAGTATCATCATTAAACAGACTATTTAATGGTCAACTTATTAATGTCTCGATTAATGTTGCGAGAAATGAAATGACGGAATGTTATGAGAACGTGATCGCTTTCTAGAAATGTCGATGTAAATTATGAATAGCAGAAAATACACTATTGTTATGAACTTTGAAAGTGAATTATATACTCTAGTTTCATTGTTGAAATTACATAGCAATACAGTTTACTAAGTATTGTGTATTGTATTAATATGTAACTAAATTTAAAAATAAGTTAAATTCATTGTACAAAATGTATATTTTATTTCCCTTAACTAAATCAGTATACAATTTAATACTAAATAAACAACAGATTTGTAGAAAAAGCTTATTCTGTAAAGGATATTTAAAGGTCGGTGACACGCTCATATAAAATATAAAATATTTTTGTTTCTGAAATATCTACGGAAATTTCCATCTCGTAACTTGATAGTTTTGTTTAGTACACTACCTAAATAAATACTTCAACATTGTAAACTGATAGACTCCAGACTGAGTATTCTCGAGTGTGCCAGACAGTGATTGTTTAGGCAATCTTACACTTCACTGAAACATAACAATGCATACACTGCTGTGTGATAAAAATAGGAATAAGGAACAATACCCTTGCCAGAAAACAAACACCCCACAAACAATGTAAACTACTCTCAATAAATTGCTATATTTCGTTGCCATTTTTAACAAAAAGCGATACAATAAAATATTTTGTAGCAATACGAAAATAACTTAATTTTATTGATTATTTTCTATTACATTTTAATAAGTCACGTCAAAAAAAAAACAGAATTTAGATTATTAATTTTGATCGAGACAATAACGATTCAATTATTTGATAAGAAGATAAAGAACAGACGGTTTAATTTTATTTAGATTTTATTAAGATAATATGTTATTATCTTGGATTATAGAAATAAGTATTCCAGTTACAACTAAATAGGTATGATATATGTAGATAAGATGACTAAATAGAAGAAAACAGTGTACAGTAATTACTTAATTCTAGCAAATTCGATTATGTTAAGCTATTTTTCTTAACAGTTATTATATTTGCTTTGCAAAACACAGTACATACGTCTATCGTAGTTTTACTTTTGAATTTGTTTAGGATAATATAGCTAAAAGCTAATATCGACAATAAGTAACATGATAAATATTTCCTTCTCAAAACTGTTTCTAATTCCGGGAATAATAATTGGTTAGGCAAAATTGAAGTTTTTCAGTGTTGTACTTAGACTGCTATATATTACTTGATTCTGTTTATACGTAATATAAAACAACCTTCGAACGTCATAATTTTTTTCTCAATAGTATTTATCATCAATGAAAGAATTGATTCGGTCAATGCTTTAATTACACTCTTGCATCAGAACAAGGCACTTTAATTGGCACCAATTGAGTAACTTCATTTATGTGTATCCGAATATTGTTTACGGATGGAAGTTACAAGCAGTAAAGCAAATTGTTTTTCTTTTTTTCTAGATTGCAGTTGTTATGTACAGACATTATGTGCATCGCAACGTCACTTCTATGAATTTCGACAATCCTGTATACCGCAAGACTACGGAGGACCACTTCGCTCTAGAGAAAAATGGTTACGCACCAGGCAGCAAATTGTATCCCAGTACAGTGGGAGAAGAGGTAAGAGCACTAACTGCCATGGAGTGTACACTTAATATACAGAATAGTCTAAGATAAGTCGCGTAAAATTGTACTGCCCTCCAAGATGGAGCCAATTACTGATAAGCGGGTGTTTTTGTCTTCAACCCTACTGAAATATTAATTTTATATAGTTTATTGTAAACTACAAATTTTAAGAGATAATTTATTTTCTAAACCTCACTTAAGTCTTAGGTACTTACAATGAAATAAGACCCCAAAACTAATTATGGCCAAATTATAGTATTGTAAATACAAGGTTAAATCTAGGATTATTAAATTAAAGTAAATCTAAGGTCTGCCTAAGACATTTTAAACTTGATGTACTTAGACTATATTTACTAGATATTGTTTTAAGGATTTTATAGAAAATATTTTCGTTTAGATATAAGATTGTGGCAATTTAAATGTGCCAACATTTTTACCGCATCAGTATTAAAAAAATAGTTGCCAAATATTGGTTATAAATGGTAGGTGTTAAAGCTGTAAATAGTCACTTTGAAATTAGCATTATAATGATTTTATATTCTGCTACTATTGCTTAACCATAGAAATTACACAAAAGTTTTACTGCCGATAAATTTATTTTTCATGCGTAAACATGCGAGGGCTATTAATCAATTGGTAAGTTTTTAGAAAGTAGATAAAAAAGCCTTTTTTATTAGTGGCGTGATTTTGATGTAGAAAAAAATATTTTGCGCTGTTTTCATATATCTGCACTAGGCATTTATATACGTAAAATTATGTATATGTTTATATTGGTAAAATGATGTTCTCAAATTTTCGTTTTATTTTCAGGCCCAAGAACCTCTCAACACTCCCGCTACTAATGACTTTGTATAGTGTACAAGCCGGCAGCAAGTACATCAGTGTGTCATTAAATGTGAAAAGAAAAAGAAGGACATGTGATACTTAAAAATAGTGGAAAAGTGAATGGGACTTAAGCTAACATTTTATAGTAAACTTTAATAAGTTAGCGTAGTGCAGTGGAAAGTGTAAGGCTTTGAACAAAGTTCTGTTTATTGACGCCTCACCCCATGTGGATCTCAAATATGCGGGATTTTATCATTAATCAACGCAATCACTTCTTGTCAACGTTAACTTACAACTGAGATCTTTGTAAATGCTTTCATATTGTATCACAAACGAATTAAGAAGAACGAGTTTGTTATAATTTTCTCTATAAACTGTGACTAGTTAGAAATTCGAATATTGCTTTTGAGCAAATGCCTGGTGCATATAATTATTTTTAATAGGATTTACAATTTTTATATCCAATTTTTTTTTTATTATTTAGGTGCTTTACAATGGTTAGGTAGCAATTCAGGTATATATATATATACAATATATGCAGTATTGTATGTATTCAATAATATAGAGAAATTGTTTTGAAATATTACAATGGTGTAGTTGAATTTCAAATGTTACTTGACGTCACTCTTAATTTCCATATTTTAGTATCATTATTTATTCATACAAACATTTCCTATAATTCATAAAAACTTTAAAGCCATTATTTTTTTGGTTGCAATTCGTTCAAATTAATAAATCAACTCGAAAGAACGAGACGAGACTATGTTAATATTTGGACGAGCTTTATTTTCAGTAACAGACAGTAAATTATATGAGTGACGAAACATTTCTATTGAAAAATGATCAACAAGACGCTGATGGATTTTATTAATAAAATATAAGAAATAGACTAATGTCTTCAAACGTAATATGTGTGCCAAGAAGTACAATAAATTGTGAATTAGTAAAAATTTATAAAATATTGCCAAAATTAAGACTAATGAAATACGAAATTTCTTTTATATTTGATAGAACAATGCTCACTGTTTGTTGCTTTCTATTTATTTGAATTATATAAACTTGTTATACATTAGTACGGTTTAATATTTATATTATATTTTATGTAATGGTTGTGTTTAACAATACTACATAATTATGTATGTTTATTAGTAATTAATTAAAAAAATCGCCTAGTATTTGGAACATGACTTTGTCGAGCAAAATCCTGCCAAATCCTATAAATTATTATCCTATTTGTAATGTAATTCAATTACATTGATAATCACTTAATGCACATTTCATACATGCTAGCTCAATAAGTGTCGTCACTAAAATTATTGTGTAAATATTGTCAGTAAAATATATGTAAAATGTGTTAAGTGTGTTCTTTGATTTTTTTATTATCCTCATAGTTATTTTCGACTAAAATAGTAGAAATTCTTTCAAAAATCCATACAACATTACAAATATGAGAGTGTATTTGTTAATTTTTCACGTGTAAACGGCTGAACGAATCCTAAAGACATGCCATGTAGATATAGTATGTATTATGTATGCTTCTGTGTATATTTTCCTGTATCCCGTTCAGTATAGCCCTCATAGTATAAATTAATTTTTATGTGATGCAATAGTAACTGTTTAATATTAATCAATAATATTCATATGGCCCTTGCAAATTAATAACACTTGCACTAGAATCTTTATTTAGGAATTAACAATTTGAGATGCTATATTTAACTGATTTTGTATGGAGCCAATAATGGTTCAAAAAATTATATATCTATAAATACAAAAAAATACAGTTGAATTTGATAAACGCTTTTTTAGGGTCAGTAGAAGTTTATGAAGAGTAAGTATGTAAATGCGAAGGCACGACATAAATAAAATTTTATCAAGTCTCCAGCGCCGAATGGAAATGATGGCATTTAAAAATATACAACATAAAATTTGGGTTACACTTTCTGTATTACACTCACAAGCACAACCTTTAAATATGTCTTATCACTGTCCAGTGTTTCCTTATGAGTAAAAAGTAAACATGCATCCAACTTAACATTTGTGTAACCGTAGCTTTTGTAAGTACTCGTCTTTTTTGTATCTTTTGAGTTAGGGCTAAAAAATTCATTTAATTTGTGTCTGAAAGATCTGTTAAAATAATAAAATTCTACACTACACAAGTTGTAAATCAGAAGTTGCTTTATCTAATGCTGGATAGAGCCACCTTCCATTGTGAAGGTAATAAATAATATATGCAATAATATAGGAAAATACTCTGGAGTGGTCAAAAGCGATTTAAATTATCGACATTCGGTAAGCACAACACTTGACATGCTAACATTACGCTAGGTATATTTGAATTGCAGGTTGTTGGCAGAGGATGAGGCTGCTGCTGTCTTTCGTATTAATTTGGTTTGTTATCCTTGTTTCCATCACCGGAGGCGCCTGTGATGTTGTTAAGTTATACATGTGAAAGTTATCATGTATTAGAGTAAGTTGTTCGACTTGTTTGTCATTCTAATTGCATTAAAAAATATAACAAGAAATATATTACCAGTTCATTCAAACGAAATATGTAATGGAAAGCTTGCTTGCATTACATTTTGAGGGGAAGCTATAATGACAGTAGATCAAATAATATGAATTATTTTTATTATAACAGAAATGCCTAAATCGCATAGTTGCGTGTACAAATTAACAAAGTTAAAAAAGAATTAGCAAGTACCCCAGATAAATAATAAAATTATAAAAAATATATAAAGTATTGTGTTAAAGTTTCACGTTACCTAAATTTTGTGTGATGTCTTAATAACAGTAAAACAATATTATCATAAGCATTTTAATAAGAGTCAGGCGTTACTACCCTTGTTTAAAACCTATTTAAGTATTCATAACCTCTCTTAACTGGTTCGATTTCCCACACGACAAAAACATTTGTATTCACAAATACGATTGTATGTATTTGTATAGATGTTGTTTAAGTATATACAAACATAATGTACATATTACAATATTTCCTTAATTTATTTAGAGTCCATATTATAAGCTCTATGGAACGTGGGACTGTATTGTGTGAATTGTCCTGCGTTATTACAAATAACGTATGTATAAATACACTTATCTAAAACAACATTAAGTATATTTTACACGTCATTAAAAATAATTATCACTAATTAAATTTGTACTTCGTACTAACCGCCTTTATAAATACCGACTTACAAAGTGCCAACATTTAGATTATTTAAAAACCCTGCATATACTTTATTACTTTAAGTATATGACAGTATTTTGAATCAACGAATACACTCGTATAGGGCACAGATTTTTGATCCTAACCTAAACGGTAGTATCAGTGGCAACAATTTTGGATTACGCTACTGACATTTGGAACGCAAAAAAATACATCGAATGCTAAGCTACGTCTTTTTTTAAATACGGTTATAACAAAAAAAAACATGATTTCTTCATTGTAAATGGCTGCCACTAATTTGACGAATCATTTCGCCAAAATTTTGGTTTCACAGGATCAGTGGAATTCTATAGCTGTGGCTTTTCATAACCAGGACTTAGTAATACCAGTGGCACTCAATGAGGAAGTAGCCATTATTATTGCTAAAAGTTGCATATAGATGGCGTGATTGGTATCGATAGAATTCTTCATAGTTTTGCAAACGTTTTAAAAAACAAAACTGTGTTTTCAAAAATGTTTAATCAATTTTTAAAAAGTTATATATACATGTTAAAATGAAATAATGCGTTTAGAAAAGTAATTTTCATATATTTACTCATTTTGTTATTTTCCAGTACTTAATTACACTTTAATCAGTGCTAATATGGGGCTCAATGTTTTCAAAATGCTTTCATAGATGGCATTGTCGTCATTTGTATCGGCCTAATTAAATGTCTTTTTTATATTTTCCTATAATAAGCACTTAATATATTATTATTGTAAATTAAACATATAAAAAATTTTTAAGTAAATTAAAAATAGCCGAACAAGCAAGTAATACTATTTCCAATAATACTTATGTATGAAGTGTTGTCATATTAAAAATAAATACATGTATTATCGATTTTTTTGAATAATCGATAACAGGATTTTATTACAGCGCATTATTCGATGATGCTTTTAATAAGTCGTTGTGGACAGTAAATTTTCATTATTTTGTATTATAGCAGTGTTCCGTTTCAAAGAACGGAATATAGTAGTACATTATTAGTGTCGTTGGTTATTTACATTTGTACTGAAAAATCGATTACATAATAATTTAAAATATCGAGTACGAATCGTAGCTGTCTTCGAATACTGGCAACTGGTAAGATTAAAATAGTATTTAAAAAAAAGAGAGAAATCGACCCTAACTCGAATACCATAAAGTTGATTTTCCTTTCTCATTAATATCATAGCAGTTTGTTTTTAACTTGCGTATGACTCTGTGGTATGATGTTTAACGTGTATTGTTATTGTACGGTGCATACATTTCAAAAATTATCTTTTAATGTAGGTACACACATTTCTTTCATACATTTCATACATGTCAAAAATTATCTTTTAATGTAGGTACATATATTTCTTTCATACATTTCATACATTTCAAAAATGAACTTTTTATGTAGGTACATACATTTCTATCATACATCTCATACATTTCAAAAATTATATTTTAATGTAGGTACATACATACATTTCTTTCATACATTTCAAAAATGAACTCTTTATGTAGGTACATACATTTCTTTCATACATCTCATACATTTCAAAAATTATATTTTAATGTAGGTACATACATTTCTTTCATACATTTCATACATGTCAAAAATTATCTTTTAATGTAGGTACATACATTTCTTTCATACATTTCATACATTTCAAAAATGAACTTTTTATGTAGGTACATACATTTTTTTCATACATCTCATACATTTCAAAAATTATATTTTAATGTAGGTACATACATTTCATACATGTCAAAAATTATCTTTTAACGTAGGTCCTTACATTTCATACATTTCAAAAATTATCTTTTAATGTAGGTACATACATTTCACACATTTCAAAAATTTCATACAATACGTTTCTTTCATACATTTCAAAAAGTATCTTTTAATGTAGGTACATAACACCCCATGTCAGACCCCTTGTATTTGGAAGAAACTTAAAAATAATGCCAAAAATATTAGATGAATATAACTTTATCCCTCACTAACAATACTAGTAGTAGTACATAACCTGGTTTATACCGCTAAAGATATTGAAAGATATACGAGTAATTCAGAATGTTATCAAGTTCAAAATAAGCACACATTACTTGCTTAGATAACAGAGTAATATTACTCGTAATAAAAACATTTGTAACACCCATATGTATACTACGTATGTATAGTAAGTACTTACGCTGCGGCGCCGTGAGACTCGTCTACCTCATCTATGTACTCATCTACGCGCGGTAACCGCGCCGACCGACCAATAGGAGCGCGCCTCTCGTGTTTCCAGAAAGTTCGCGACTAACGGACGATATAGTAGTAAGGCAATGAGTGTCCCAGTGACATCATTATAATATTTTCTCGTTAAATTTTATTGTAATATACACAATTTCGCACTAAATAACGTGTTACCCCGTTACACATTTCTAATAATGAAAAACCTAGACCGACCCTGTTCACTTAATCTTACAAGATCTGACTTTAAAAATTACGATATCCTCATATAGCCTTTCATTTCCCCTTTCAATAATTTTTCGCATTAAAAAGTAGCCTTTCTCAGGGTCTACATTATCTGTCTACCAAATTTCAATTAAATCAGTTCAGTAGTTTTGGCGTGAAAGCGAGACAAACAGACAGACTGAGTTACTTTAGCATTTATAATATTTGTAAGGATATCGCTACTAAAAATAGGGGTTGGTGAAAGACGGGTGAAAATTTAGGCGTGTATGTATTTTCAATGTAACATTATAAATAAATAAAAAATTGTCCATAATACAAAAAAATATTTTTTCGGGGTAGGCCACCCCTATGACTTAGGGGTATAAAAAATAGATAACAACCCTACCTCAGACCTGGCAAGTATACATATCAAATTTCATCAAAATGTGGGAGAAATATGGCAACTAACACTGTGATACAAAATTTATATATAAGATTCCGCTAGAATTCTCATTAGGTAAAAGAGGGGTACATCGTAGAATACATGAGGTATATACCAGTAAATTAATTGTAGCTAAAATCAGTCTCATACATATAACGATTGAAATAAAAAATCGTATAGCCCGATTTTGATACGTACGAGTATAAACGTATCAAAATCAGGCTATACGTATAGCGCAGACGCGTTACAACATATCAAAAAAATAGGCATGGAATGTAAAATAAACCATAACATAATAGGTATATACATTGGCACATAAGCCATATCTGCAGAGTGTCCGCTAACGATATTATACCCACACATTTACATTGAATCTTGAATCGTCCCTAATGAGGTACACGATACAGTTACCTACATATCTATTATATACATATCTTTGCAAAACAGATGTCATGTAGACTGAATTGACTGCCATCTATTTTCATGCTTTGTTACTAAGCACCCACTAGTAATCCGAACTGCTTCAGATCTAGCGACATCTAGCGGCTACGGTGGCGAAATAAAATAGCCCGAAGAATAGCCCGAGTTAGGAAGGAACCATTTTCTTGTATGGGATGGGGTATCTGTATGTAATATTATGTTATCTGTGGTAATACACATATCACACATAAATTTTGCACTTTCGTTTTATACTAAAGTCGATTACAAATTCATCGGGATCATGTAAATATTTCCTTGTAACAATACTGAAAATACTATGACCGTCATGTTTCAAAACAATTGAAATTATCTATAATGTCTTTAAAAGCAAATACTACAGAAGTGTTTACATATAAATACAAGATACAGAATGAACTTGATGTTTCTACTACATATACATATACACAAACTGTACCTTACATTTTAGTTACACTTACTAAGTTCTATACAAATAATAGTATAAAAATGATATATATATAAAACTTAGTATAAAATGTTAACATGAAATAGTATAAAACGTTACAATGAAATCGGGTAGTACATACCATGTATATACCAAAATACTGCTTAGGTACAAAACTAAATATATAACAATGAATAATCTACTATGAACTATTATTACTATTAACTACATTAGAGGTGTCATCATCACTCACTCGCAACCTCTTGCTCTTCTGCTTTTTATTATTCATGTTGACTTGTATCACTTCTGTTGTGGTATCTTTTAATCTCTGCTTATAAAGGTCATATTGTTGGATAATGTGCCTTTTATATGCATCAAAAGTTCTTGAGGCGATGTGAAGTCGAGCGTGGTGGAATAATTGATCAAAATGATGGAGATTGTGTCTGTAACATTATAATTACTTTTATTAGATAACTAGGTATGCGCTCCGGCTTCACCAGGGTGTACATGTATTATATATATAAACCTTCCTCTAGAATAACTCTATCTATTAAAAAATTCCGTTGCGTAGTTTTAAAGATTTAAGCATAAATAGGGGTGGACAGACAGCGACAGCTACTTTGTTTTATACTATGAATGATTATTATGATGAGTTATCATGGGTTACTTTATTACTCTTAGTTTATACAGTATAAAGTCATGTTCGTGGATAGCTTTGTAGGTCGACGTCCACAACCATATTCCATATGTGGTAGTGAAATACCGTAGGTACTGTAGTGATGTTCATATAAAAATATATAAAGGCGTCGCCTTTAAATATGAACATCACATATGGGCGCGAGGTGACACTTAGCATCAGATGTACCGGCTTGATTTCATATTCCTGTTAGATATTATAAATTTGTGGCTTGTAATCTATTCTTTGTTTGCTATTCCAGTCACAAAAAAATGTAGGTTTAGAATAAAACCACAAAAGAACAGGAACCGTAAAAAATTAGATATAAGATAATAAGATATGTTTAATACTGCAATACCAACACATAAATATGTGACATAAAAAATATACTCACATACTAAGTAACACTGAAGATAACATTTCTCGTGTATTCAACAGATGCCGAATGTATGCTCTTGTATGTTTCTTGCATGACAAACATTCGCAATTGACTAATATTGGCTGGAAATCATCCTTGTACCTGGAATTATTATGAAAAAGTAAAACAATATTCATACAATATTGTTGATTAAACATATGATAAAATTATAATATTATGTGAGGATATGGAATGATATAATTATGAGGTCCAATATGTATCATTTGAAACAAAGAAAGACATAGGCTACTTAAGATAGCAGTAAACCAATACATCCCATCCATGAAGATAAAATATTTCTAATTACACTAATCTCTTTATACTTAACTATTATAACATTCATTTTGGTCTACTCACCTTTCGTCATTAAGGTCTAAAATACAAAGTTCTTTACTATCTTGATCGTCACCATCTTTTCTATTCTCATTACTAGTTTTATTTATACTTAAATTTAAGGCTAATGCATGACCAGCATTAGTCAGTTTTAATGGATAGGAACCATCAAATAAATCCCAGCCATACTCTATAGCCGTCACTATTACTGCTGGATTCCAACAGCCTTCTATGATGCGTAAAAAGTCCTTTGGGATGGCATTCTGAAAAGTAAAATTACATTAATTGGTACACAAGTTAGTGGTAACCATTTAGCATCAGATGGGCCATATGCTTGTATGTCACATAGTGAGTATAAAAAAAGAAAAGTTATGTATGTTATCATCAATATCAAAATCCATTTATTCTACCAATTCCTGCTAAATACTGCTAAAACAAAATAACAGATAAGGTCAGTATTTACTTATACATAGTATGCCATGCTTGTACTTATGTTGGATTCTCGGCAAGTGTGAATAACACACTTAATTTATGACATGCCTAGAATGACAAATGAAGTTTTAGAGTTATATCTGTAATTGTCTATCTCATGTGGCGGTATAAAGTATGTACAATTTTCACATTGCCAAAAGAAGACACTAATTATATCCATTGTTTATTGAAACAATGAATACACCATTACAAAATTTGCGACACTTATACCATTATGTAGAGTACCAATTTACTTACACTAACTCTTTTGAAAATTGCCTCCAATTTCTCTATAGGCACTGCTAAAGATTCTTCTGTCCCATTTGTTATACCTTCAAGAGCCACACCACTTAGACTGTCTTTGTGTGTTAATAGATTCCGAATAGATTGGTCACATTTTCTCTCATCACCAACACCCACTATTACACCTGGAAAACGAATATGAATAACATATTCAAAAGTCCATAAACACTTGGTTGTCTCCTGTAAGTTTCTGAAAAAGTTCTATTATTCTTTCATTACAAATAACACCATTATATGTGCCTTATTGTTTCTGCTTGTTCTTGCTTCTTTTAAGCAATTAAAACTTCATGTAGAAGTCATAAACTGTGTAATAAAAATAATTGAAAATATAGATGAATTTTACTATATAAATTACTACAATTAAATTTAGCATTTGGACCTGAGAAATGTGAACACATTAAATCTATGTACATAGTTATTAAGTAAAAGGTAAATGGTAGTTAAGTATAATACAAATTGAAGAATCTTGCCCTAAATAGTTCATTACCTGATTTCATACACCACATGTAGCATGAGAAGTGTATAGCTATCTGAGAGCCCCAGTGGATTAGCGGTTTAGCATACCATTTTACTTTCAATGGTTGCAGGTTTAATACAAAAAATTATATTAATTATTTGATTGTTTGTATTAGCAAAAAAAATCTAAGAATATTTATCAGCTCTCTAGTACACAAAACACAAACATAATATAACTCTGCTTTACTTGGGACTAGATGATAATAATAATAATAATCTCAGGACAATTCACACAGCGCAATCTAGATCCAAGTTAAGCTAGCTAGAGCTTGTGTTATGGGTACTAGATAACTGATACATATACATAGATATTTTTTTTTTCTAAATACACACATATTATACATAGAAAATACCCAGACCGATACAAACATTCATACTCATGAATACAAATGTTTGTGCCGTGCGAAGAATCGAACCCACGACCATCGGTCATAAAGCGATGTGCTTGACCGCTAGACCACCGAGGTCGTCATACTGTCATGTGTCATGTGTCATACTGTGAGAATTGTCAACAACATTATTCTCTGATTATGATTATTGTTAAGAATAGATTAAATAATGTAGTTTTCAGTAATTAATATTTCTGAATTATAATGTTAAGTAAATATACAAACCAATTAGTGAACTATCCTGCAAATTTGCTGATGCCTTTTGTCGTGTCACACACAAATTTAGCATATTACTTGTTCTGTCTAGTGATTTCGTGATCCTTTTGAAGCTCTCATCAAGTGAAGTGTGGCCATCTGCAATCGCCAAAATTATATCTGGTTTGAATACTTCCATTAAATCCATATATCTGTAAAATTGAATTTATTCCTTATGCCTTTATAATTTAATTAGTTTTACTCATATTTACTTTAAAATTCTTTATGGTACGGACAGGAAAATGCAGTCTCAAGAATATGGTTACTGTTTTATAATAATCATATGTATGATCATTCCTATTAGGAATTGAAACCTTTATTAAGTTAACTATAGTACATGGTTAAGACAAAATTTATAAAAAAATTATAATCTAAAAGGAAACCATACAGCATTCAAAATATGTTAATTGTTTTATACTGAATATAAACACATGCCTTGTACATTTCAGAACTATCACAAAATGTTTGATATAACTAAATTTTTCAATAAAACTCATCTCTTGATAACAGATAACATTGGCTCATTGATTATAAACAGACACTAATTTCCTAAAATTAAACTTAATGTAATTTAAGTAGGATTAAACAACATTAGTTGTAAAACTCTATTCTAACGCAACTGTAAAATAGAATTTTATCGACTTACACCTACAACAATTATTGAATAAAAAAAACAACAATTTACAACACATAAGTATTGACTGAAAATGCTGGAAACATGGTTTCAAAATTGATTGTGAGTAGACATACCTATTAGCCGAAATCATCTTCTTCCCGTTTTTAGTCCATAGAGGAACTAAATCTGATTCAAAATGTCCAGTAGGTGTCACTTCTGACACAGCATGCAGTGTAACACAAGTCAAATGGTTTTGTAGTCCTGCAAATTTGGCTACACCCTCTCCTTGAGCTTTCAATCCTGTCTCTAACTGATAAGATTTGGACAATGGAACCCATAGTAATTTCGGATTGGTAAATACTTTAGCCAATACCTCATTGGTTAAATGAACTACACTGCCACTCTGAAACACAACATATTATTATTGTCAGTTAGTTACATTAATATTATTACTGTGAAATATATATCTCTCTGTTTATAACTTTGTTATAGCTAAATGGATGAAATAATCTTAATGAAATGTGGCATAGATTGTATTATAGGGATGGACATGCACGTTAAATCTTCAAAAAGTAGATGAAGCTGTGGAAAACACACGGTTCTATATAAATAAAACTTGTGAATGATAAAACATTACTAGTCAAATATTAATTTAAGGTAAGATTATGAATGAAGATTATGATAAGCATAAAGATTATTTTCCAAATATTTATTTCTAATAAAACTTGTAGAAATAAGCTCTAAGATTGATTAAATCAGATTTGTTAAACAGAATTGGGAAAAAATGGATATAAATAATTAAGGTTAAGGACTAAATAAAGTATCAGGAACCGGCATATCTTGAAACAAGTTTTGAAAGTGAAAAAGCAAGATAAGTGTATAAATGTTCTACACATTATTTACAGAAAATAAATAATTCATATTATATACATTCAAATTACTAACTTGAGTAAACAGAGCACTAGCTGGAGTTTCGATAGATGCAGTAGGAGATTTAACGAAACCTCTAAGACTGCCTATACGTTCACTACTGCAGCCTGCTTGATTTATTACAAAACGCATTATTAAAAAGCAGATAATTACGATATTACAAAATGTTAGAAATTCAGGAATCAAGAAATAAAGTGAAATATATTGGGAATAAAAATGTAAAATTGTATTTTAACCAGAGATGAGACATTAATCCTAACCTTATTCAACAGATAATAAAAAACACGAAAATGTGTACGAAAGAAAATAAAGTAATAGGCCACAGATAAAGAAGATTCAAGTCAAATTGGCATTTAGGTGTGGACAGATTATATACAAGTTAGATTTATGTAACGATAGAGGGCGCCTTCGTATTATAACCTTATGGGAAATTACATGAAATAAATGTTATGTTTGAATTAGGCGACTAAAATGAAAATGAAAAAGCAGATAGAATTTAATAATTTTCATAATTACAATATTGACATCTAATTATTTAATCTGAATTTAATCTCAATATAAATTCAGTTACGGTTACAATTCGCATCTTAAAACGTTCCTTTAAGTTCTACTTTTTTGTGCTAGCCCTTCGTTTGTAGAACTCACTTCTATCTTCTATTCATAGCGAGCCATCAGTAGCCATTTTCAATAATTTTGTTAAATCACTATATTGTGATTAAGTAAACTTTTCTTATTGTCATCCTTCATCCCACTTTAGCTTGTTCCAAATTGCATGTTACATAATTATTTTGTACTTAAAGTTAATACCTACCTACTTTTATATACCTACTGTGTATTTATATATCATATGTATGTATTAATGTATAAAATGTATTGTTAATATTTGTAGGTAAGTAGTATATGTTGATCATTATTGTTTGTATTTAATATTGGTATGCCTTCTCTTGTTAATTTTTGCTCAAACTACCTCTATCTGTGTTCTTTCCTTTACCATAGACATATCTACTGTACGTAATACATACATATTTATTCAATACCATTATACGTGGGTCCATATTAATATGTGAAATTACCTATACTTACCATTATCTATGAGTAATATTCATAGATTATTAAGAGTGGAACATAGATTTTATTTCCGAAAAGGGTTGGACCCTTATTGCATCACGAAGTAGGTATCACCCACCTCATAGATATTAATTAAGTTTACGACTATACTGACTTGCTCCAGTGTAATTTAATTAAGTTAACTATGTCCATTGAATACAAAAAGCATTTTTCATTAGACTTTCAATTAGGTCGTTTAGTAATATTATGTTCCTGGGGCGTTATGGTGATTTATTTATCATCATAATATTATTGTACTCACCCCGCTGCTTTTAAGAAACGGGTGCAGTCATTTTATAGCCTTAGGAAAAATAATTAGCAATGCAGTGGGGTGGATACTTAGGTACATATTGCTGTAGATTTTGTACGGAAATATTTATAGCCGGGATTTTGTTTAAGAAAGGATATGCGATGTGAAGATTTTTTTAAATTATTTTTTCTTAAGTAGGTATATAATATTCTAATATATGTACTTTAAAGGTGCACTTGAGCCCTCCTACCTATCCAGGAGACGTTCATATAAATACCTATAGCAGAGGTATAATTATACTCGCAACTTGCGCGACTTTTTTGAAAATACTTTAGTATCTTCAAAAAAGTCGCGCTGACTTTTTTTAAGAAGGCGTAGTAATTGCTTATAATGCACATTGTCAGAACGACCTCTACGCGATTCCCCTGAAATTCATCGTGGTCAATTCCTGGTGAGAGCCATGATGGTCTATCGACCTGACTTGCTCGCCTTATGTATCTTTGTTCACTGGTCTCGATACAACGTATACCGTTAGCGCATGCATGTTCACCTTTCCATTATCAGATATTTTGAAATTTATAGACTTATAATAATTTTATTATTTGAGACAGTAAAGTAAGTAGGTAGTTTGCTATCTACTGCTCAACAATATTTCGTGATAAGCATAGCTATTTTAATTGTAATTAATAGATAAATCCAAATAGGTAGATATCATTATAAATAAATACTTATAATAAACTTTAACAATAGATAACTAAGTATTAATTTTTAAACCATATTAATTAGATCAATCTTGTAGACTTGTTAAAAAAGACATTTAACTAAAAGAAACGAAAACAAGAGTTGTTAAAGAAACAAAAAGTAAAAACATCTGTAATTACGAAATGCAAATCTCCAAAGCTTTTACGATGTTGCCCACCTATTTGAAAACCTCATTAAGCTGAAATCTTATGCCAAATAATGTTTTAAGTTCAGATTTATTCTGTATCTTTATTAAAAAAAGACATAGGTAGGTTCAAAGAGAAATTGTTGCTTTTGTATGTTGGTTTTTACTTGTTAACATATTTAATGTTTTATGTAGGTATCTATAAAGAAATGAGAATCGATATCAGCACAGTTAAAAAAAAATCGTGCACTGACCGATCATAAGATTAAATGATGAAAAGGTATAACCCGATATTTCTGAATTTTTACATGTGATAATTATACGCTATTTGTTTATGAGGCTACGATGTCTAGCATCTGAGAAATCATATATCTATAAGCCATGATTGGCTTATTAAAAGATATCACTTTATTTACTGAAGAATGAAATTTATTCGGATTAGGTACTTATACTTTATTAACACAGTTTTTTTAATTTAGAAATAAATTAACACACCACAGGTTTTACCTATGTAAGATATATCCAGACGGCAAATCATTAGTTTTAATTTTCTACAGGATTTTAGCTACGAGTAAGTAGGTAAGTCAATAATATTTGAGATATTATGGGTAGGTACATATAAAATTGCTATATTATAATATATTAGTTGACTATATTTATGGGAACTACATATATGATACATTGGCATTACAGTAGATAATAAATTAGGTGTACATATCTGACGTGTTTTACATCTGAAAAATGTAACATCGTACGAAACTTTTAAGACTGCATAATGTACTATTAAGGTACTATTGTTTTTAAAGTTCAAAGTACGAAGTAAAGCACTTAAGTCTGTGTGCCAACAGTTTCACTGGTATCATTTCCAAGGCGCATTATTTATTCATAACCTTTTATTTCTCGTTGGAGCGTTTATGGAGCTACTGGTTATTAATTTTGAGCCCTAGGCTTAAGACGTCGTTGGAAAGCTTTGTTGAAATCGTTCTGACTTTACGAGTTAAGGATCATGATCTTTGTATCAAAGCTTTCATGTTTAACGATTTCAGTATTCTTAAGTAGGTATGTTTAATAATATTAAAAGTAAATTTATGTCACGAGTTACTATGTCTTTTCGCCCTGATGGCTTTTGTGTCGCAATTTTTAGAATAATTATGCCTTGTATGATAAATAATTTTCATATTGGTTAAATTTTTTACTTAGTTTATATGGCACATACCCTACATTGTATTCGTACTCACTCGTACTGGAGCCAGAGTTTTTTTGTCAATTATTTCTAATAAAACCTCTAAGGTGGGTAAGAAAGTTGTGTTATGAAGTTCGGTGAAAGGCAGCTGCAGTTTCGAAGGTTGGTTGAGGAGTAGTACACTCGCAAATACGGAAAATAATAAAATTCAGTTATTTCTCCCAGTTTAAATTCCTATAAAATGATAGTCAAAATCTTTGATAACCAAGACCCACCATTTCACTTCTCAGTAGCATTTTTTATATTTTTTATACACAATATAATGCACCAGATAAAGAAAATAATTAAAATAGTAAATTTACAATACTTTCTTATAATATAATATATGATAAGAAAGGCGGTCTCGACGTTTAATAGATTAATAAGCAATTTTGTTTGTACAGCGTCACTGTACAAAATGTAGAACAATTTATAGCGCATAAATTGTTTTTGCGTTCCATAGAATGTTTAAAAAGAATTTTTGACATTTTTATATGATAATAATAATAAAATAATGAATACAGCAATAATAATGATAAGTTTATATTTACATATTCTATGAAGGTCATGAAATGCGAGAATAACTTAATAAAGCCAACCACCAAGCCACTTTTGTACAACGCAATCTACGTATAAATAATAATAAATTAATATCCTAACGAAGAACTGATATGGACTTTAAGTTATAGCAAATAAGGTATATTATTATTAAAGGGCAAATTGTAACTATTATAATTAAATACCATCAGCTGAAATGTATCCCATCCCTTAACAGCAAGCTCAAAATTTTATTTATATGTAATAGCATATATATCTGACAAATTGTTATATACCTATATGTACATATGTATATGACTGAAATTAATGATTAGCTGACGGAGATTCGCTTATTTCAATAGCTGGATGTAATAAAATTATAATTCTGAGTAATAACAGTTTATATCCTAGAAATGATAGTGGGAAGGTACATAACATTTATTAGGTTATACCAAAACGTTGGTAATGTCCTACTTAGGACCGTTAATATTGATTCTTTCTTGATTATTACCTACATGCCTCTATAGACTCAATCCTAAAGGTTTGAGGGGAAGAGGATTGTTTAGTAATGTGGACCAATAACCGCATTGCTAGCGATATACTATGACAGGTTGACTTCCACGCGGTCCCTGGAAACCGTCATGGTAAATTGCCATTTGCCAATAGGGATTAACTGATCTGACTTCATGCTCATTTTAACATTGTCCGCTTGTGCTCACGCCAGTGTAATCCATTATCCATTGTCATCCATATAAATATCATGAAGGATTGCGTTCTCTCTAACAAGTGTCCAAAACATTCAGATGACGCCCGACATATTTTATTAACAATAATGTTATATTTGCACCTAAATAAAAATATATAATTTAAACTGTCTGAGTAACATATAGGTAATAAAAGATAATTTGAATAATTTATATGTCTAACATATAAAATAATATACCTTCAGTTTATTAGTTTTCCTAGATATGTGCAATAAATAAAAACATCTAAGTACTTATGTTTTTAAAGTATATTATTAAAACAGATGGTGTAAAAATCCTCATTAAGTTTTTCATATGAGCAAGCGTGGTCATGCATCCCGGCGCGATGGTGCATTAATGCCTTACAACTTAATGCAGCAATGCACGCAGGCTACTCGCAACCGTAACGAGTTTTCAAAGATTATAAAAGCTACCAACTGTTGTAAACATTAATTAATTATCTGAAATTAC